GGACCCAGCCTCAGCCTCAGGCAGCGCCGCCATGAAGCGAGACCCACAGCGCCCCGAGGAGCGCCCGCAGTCAACACCGGACACCCCGCTCTTCTCCTCCTTGCTCCCGGCGGAGAAGGACGCGGGGCCGACGCCGCCGGTGTGGATCTTCTGTGTGGAGGCCAGGCTTTGAGTTCACGTCGCGCAAAGTGGGCTTCATCCGCGGCTACAGCCGTCGCTTCTGGCAAGGAGACACCTTCCACCGCGGCAGCGAGAGGATGGTAAGGGCGGGGCGGCCGCTGTGGGGGTCGTTGGGCGGCCGGTGGTGCGGGCTCGGTTTCTAACTGCTGTCCCCTGGTCTCTCCCGCACAGCCTGGCCGGGTGGTGACGCTGCTGGAAGACTGCGGGGTGAGTACCGGGGCCGTGGTGATACCCACATCAGCAGCTGGGAAAAGATGTCGGCAGCCAAATCCTCTTCTGCCCTCTCAATATCGCTGGGGGTGGTGGTGTTATCCTCCTCTGCTCTGTTACCGATTGTGCAGAGATTCCAGGGCAAGGGAGGGTTGCTCTGAAATGCTAGTGGGCTTGTCCTCTGGGGTTAGAGCATCCCTTTAGCTCCTTGAACTTTTGCTTTTAGGCATGCACGTGGGGTGTAGCCTATGAAGTCCGTGGGGAACAAATTGCTGCATCACTCCAGTATCTCAACATGCGAGAAGCTGTCCTGGGAGGCTACGACACCAAGTTGGTCAAGTTCCACCCTCAGGAGAAAGATGGAGAGGAGCCCATCCTGGCTCTTGTTTACATCGCAACCCCCCAGAACCCTTCTTATCTTGGCCCAGCATCTGAAGAAGACATTGCAGCTCAAATCATTGTCTCAAGTGGTTGTGCTGGACATAACATTGAGTACTTGCTGAGACTGGCAGACTTTATGCGATACTTTTGTCCTCAAGCAGAGGACAAACATCTCTTCTCCATCGAAGAGGCTCTTATTTCCATCCTTCCATGCCTATACTACACAGAGGACTCTCTAGAAGAAACAGCAAGCGTCCCTCAGAAGTCTAAGAGTTGAAACAGAAAAAGTTTTTGCAGGGTTTCAGTAGAAGGGGCATAAGGGAGGAAGCAATGAAGACAGTTAACTCATCAAATATACTGGACTGAGTGAATAAAGGGAGAATTAGCAAGTAGTAGGGGAGGGAGGAAGTGGAGTAAAACATGCTTGCTACAGGACTTGCAGTTAGTACCTGTTGTGCCCCTTAAGTGTCGCACCACGATGCCATCACTGCTTTCCAGGTGAGGAGCAGGGATCTTCACTGGACCTCTGCTCTGTAAGGCTTGCTTGTGGGCGTCAAACCTGAAGCACTCTCTCTCTTTAGAGAAGAGGCTCATCTATTCTGTGCACTTTTTTTTTTCTCTTTTGAAAACGAGTTGAGCAGGACTTGACTGGGTTTAAGCAGTATGTATGCAACTCTACCTCAGATTGGCAAAAAACTCTATGCTGATGGGGACTTGGGCAGGTTCTCCCAAATAAGACCTCCTGTGGGTTGGGTTTTTTTTTTCCCCTGCCATGTCACCTCCAGTATGACTGAACACTAAATTTCAGGACTTCTGTGCAATATTAAGTGACTGTTCTCTGTAGGCTCTTGTGGATCCTCCTTCCTTCGTGAGGGATCACAGTAATGCACTTATTTTCTAAAATGTTGTATTTATGATGCGCTGTATTTCCCCTGAGGAGGAGTCTCTAAACTGCTCACGTGCCACGGTGGTTGTGCCTGTGCCTTCTAGTTTTAAATTGGTTTTTCTGAGGAGCTAAGCCTGCTTCAGTGTCAGCTCTTCCTCAGGCTTCACTGATCCTGTGCTGCTGCAGGCTCACCTGACTCAAAGCTGTCTGGATGCAGCAGTGTTTTAACAAGCCCCATTACAGATAAAATCGTGATGCCTCAGGACAACGTGGGTTTCTGCAGAAGCATTTGGAGGTTCTACTTCCATTCTGGGGTGTCTGTCTGGTATTTGACTGGGGAAGACCTGTCACTAAGGGTGCTCCCAAGCCTCTGAGCTACCAAAAAGCCTGCCAGGATCGTGTGAAGTGGAAGCACTGTGAGCTCAGGCTCCTCGGCTTCACATATTAACAGTGTGGAAAAACAGAGTATTTTGTAAGGAAACTGCTGCTGCTGCAGCAGGACTGCTCTGGAGAGCTGACCCCTGGGATGTTTGACTCCTTCCAAACACCACGTGGGGTTTTTATTACAAAAAAGGGTAGGGACTGTTTGTATTACTGTGGCTTTTATGTCTGTGAAGTGGTACTGTGCTGTGCCCAGTAATAAAACAAACTGACAAACTTAGTCTTCTGTACTTCAGTCTTTTTCATTACTGTCTTAAAGTTCAAACTGGTTTGTTTTTTTTTTTTTAAAGACTAAGCCTTAGCTGGTAATGTGGCTGTAGTTCCTGTAGTGAAAAACAACAAACAAAACCAGCAGCACCTCACTGCTGAGCAGCTTGGATGTACTGTAAGATGCAAGCTGACCCTTTCCCTTTGAGAAGAGGAAACTTGGTGCTTTCTCTTGCCAGCTCCAGCCGTTGCTGATCCTGGGGAGCTGGCACTGACCCCAGAGACAGGCCAGCCCTCCAGGCTGCGTGGGGCAGGCACAGGAATGTAACTGCCCCTTGGCAGGGCCCAGGATTCTTGTACGAGTGGTGCTTTGCATCAGTGCTTCCAAGAAGTAACAGGGGAAGGACAAGGAGCCGCTGCAGAAAGGGGAGAAGGTTCTGCACAGGGTTAAGGTGCAGCTGCCCTTCTCCTTCCTCTAGTTACCATCACTGTACCTGCCTCCAGACTCGAGTGACAGGGTGAAAACTAATTGAGACAAGTGAATATAGCACTAATTAAAGGCAGTGCGTGTTTTGGGGATAACAGGCTAGAGAGGACAGTGCTGTCCCTGCAGGCTCTCACTGCATCTCCCACGGGGGCTCTGTCCCCCAGCCAGGGAATCCAAGGGTTAAAGAATTCACTTCCCTGCTGGGGATGCTCCCTGGCTAGCTGAGGCTGGGATTAGAGACAAAATGTGCCCGGAGGAAGAACCAAAACCAAAACCGTTCTGCACCGTGCAAAGGTACCAAGGGGCTGCTGGCAGAAGTGAGGCAGAGCCACGTTGCACCCGTGTGGTGCTGAGCCCGGGCTGGCCACGGGAGAAGACAAGCAGCAAGTGCTTGTGAGTCGCCCATCAGCACTGGGAATGTTCCTTCAGCTGCTGTTTCTTCTCCCCTTGTAAACTAACTATTCTCAGCACAGGTAACGCCACTGAACCACCATTTCCTTCCCAACCAGTTTGTTGCAGTGGGCCTCCGGTAAAAGGACCCTGGTTTGGTTTTTAGGAGTGGTGAATATGGCAGCTTGCTGCTGTCATCCTGTCACTGCATCCTCAAGTTATTTAGATAGTGAAGTATTACATAACTTCTTTCTCCTGAGGCTTTTCTTGTGTCCTCTGAGTTTGGGAACTGGTCGTATTTTGGTCAGTTGACTGAATTTAAAGGGTTAGCAGCCCAGATTTGGACTTGGGCCATGAGAGTGAGGAGAGACACATGCTATACACCCAGCTTATGTCTGTACAGCCACTCAGAGATGGAGGAGCACGGTGGCTTGCCTCTGAGAAGCCAGCTGTGAGGAGGATAATTGCTGCTTGGAGGCTGCCACAAAGCACTTGGGAGTGCCAGGCCAATGGTGGCACGCAAGGACAGTGCCCTACCTCACACACGTTTCACTACGTGCTTCTCCCCACATCATGACTTGCCAGCCCAGGTGGAGCAGCTGGCTGTGGGTGCAGCTCTTGCCACTGCCCTGGTGGCTGGCCTGGGACGGAGAACTCACCTTGTCAGAGGGTGAGACAACTGCCCTGTGACAAGCCAGTGCTCATCAGGTCACCTCACGTGACCTTAAATACAGCATCACCAAAGTGTGACCTTACCTGTGCTTGGTGTACTCTCCTGGATGAGATGCCAGGTCAGAAGGTTGAGACCAAACTCCTGTTTGTGGTTGATGGCAATACAGGCATGCAGCTTGGTGAGGGAGGGAGGTGGCAGCAGAGGCTGGTGCCCTATGGAGGGGCAGGGAGCAGACCAGCTTTCCTCAGCTGGGTGCAAAAGCAGTCACCAGCTTGGTTGAGTCTGCCTGAGGAGAATGTATGTCTGAGCATCCACAACGTAGGGCCAGCACAAGCTTTGGAGGCTATGGAGGAGCCCGTCTGGGACCTCAGTCCAAGGAGCAGCTGAAGGGGGAGAGGTGCAGCTCCACATGATGCCCACAGCCTGGAGAGGGTCCATGTGAGGACAAGTGACACTGACTTTGTATAAAACACCCCTCCCAAAACATGCTGACGTGTCACCTGCGCACTTTGATGCTTCTCCACAGAACACGTTCCAGATAGTTCAGTGCCACAATGGTAGGACTGCCAAAACGTCCCAAAACCTGGGGGTGGGTCTAGGCCTGGAAGTCCTTCATGACACTTTACATTGTGTTGTGTCACATTTGGCATGATACCCTCCTCCCAGAGGCAGAGGGGGAAACAAACAAGCAGAATTTGCAGGGGAATTTTCCCCGTGTCAGAATTCTTCTGGTGGTGCCATGTGCCACCAGCACACAGCCGAGCTCAGCACACACAGAACCATCAGCAAGGGATAAAACCCCCACATTTACAGCCAGGCCATGGAAAAACTACCCTTGCAACAAAACCAGCAGTTCCTCAGCGACTTTGGAATTTCCTACTAACTACTTGCCTTGGCTTAAGTGGAGAACCTCCCTAATTTATCTGCTGTATTGAAGTCCTGAGAGGAGCCCTGTATGACACGAGCCTTGGGCCCGAGAGGGGAGGGAGGGCGGAAGGAAGTTGGGCATTCTGGGCAGCACTGGGGAAGCTCTACATGCTGTGTTTACAAACCATGTGCACTTTTTGTTTGGCTTTGGGATGTGTTTTATTCTTTCTCAACTCCCTTTTCATGTCATCGTAGTGCCAGCCACGCTGATGAGTGTTTGTGCTTGTGAATTCCTGAAGCACAGCCAGTACCTTGAACTCCAGAGAATGAGACTGAAATAACGTCAAAGGTCAGTGAAGTTCAAAGACAGAGAGGTGCTGTTTTCCAAGCTGGGGACTCCACACTGTTCCCAGACCACGCTGGGCTCCTCTGGGACACAAAAACAAAGAATTCTCTCTTACATCCTCCTGCTTATGCTGCTTTTTGCCTCCCTTACCTCACTGTTTTACTGGGACTCATTTCCATGAAGCTTCAGTTAAAACCACCAGGAATCACTCTGAGCCTGACAACTGAGGAGACACCTGATAGCTACTGGCACTTAAACCTCCTGTCATCGAAGGAGAGGGGAAGTTTTAATCCCCACAGCTCGAGGCCACTGGCTCACAGAGTAGGAGTGAGTCCCAGAGCACTGCTTTGTCCCAAGCAGATGTCAGCTTCACGCATGGGGAGACAAGTCTTCTGGAGAGGAGAGTCCTCAGTCAGCCCTGCTGCTTAGCAAGCTTGTCCTCCAGAAACATGGCAAACACACCCCTGCACTGACAGAGCCCGTGCTGGGTACACACAGCTCAGCTGTGACAGTGTACAGGGAGGCCATGGATGGCCTCCAGCACAGGGGGTGCAGCACCCCACACTCTGCACGAAGCCATTGACCATCCATCATCATCCTCCAGCTGCAGGTTTCTGCAGACCAGGCAGTTTGCTGGCACCTGGGCATACATGACATGGTGAGTCCTACACCTGCCCCACGTGCCCCCTTCCTAAGTGCAGGGAGGCTCACGGGAGCACTGGGTCTCACCAGCTTGCTGCCTCAGCTCTGCCTCGAATGGGAACTGCCTCCCTTGAACGGGAGCGTGGGGCTGAGCGACACCAGCAGCACGGGCAGCACTAAAGTCGCTTCAGACTCAGCACAGGCAGCACTAAAGTCACTTCAGACTCAGCACAGGCAGCACTAAAGTCACTGCAGACTCGCACCCGAGCCGCTTACCGCGGTTGTAACTCCATTTACAAACAAATCGCCTCGGGGGCAACCACAAGCCAGCTTGCTGG